AAATGAAATATTAATTTTTTTATATGAAACATTAATTTATCTACTGGAGCATTTGTGATTCTTCGAAATGGTGAATCATCATCCAAAATTGTCACGAAAAACTCAGACGAAAGTTTTTCGACATTGCCGCAGAGATTCGGGATGACTAAGTCGCTCTATTCTTATCTGAATAATACTCTTCTATATCCACTGAGAAAGTAGGGTAAGTGGTTATACAAAATATAAACTCCTCGTTAGTTACGTGTTAATTGTTTATGATAGCTTTTTATTTTTATTTTGATACATCCTGTAGCAAAGACAACTTTTTAAATTTAATATTTAACTCCTTCAATTAGTTGTTGCTTCATTCGCACTTCAAGAGTGGATTGAGAGAAACAAAAATATTTTTATAAATTTTAGAGATGTCGTTCTCATAATCTAAGAATTTCTGAATTGTATCAATTTTAAAATTATGCAGGTAAACTAAAAAAAGAACGTTAATATTCTTATTCTTACTGTGTAATAAAATATAATGCAAAAAATTATATTGAAAATGAAATATTTTAAGATATGAGGCATAAAAGCAGAGATCGTCTGACTTTTTTCATGATTCTTATGTAGTACTGTCTATAATTAATTACCAGCATCGAGTATGTGATTGCATTTAACTCGTGGCACGTGTATGAGGATTATGAAGAATCTATCATTGTCATCGCAAATGTGGATCTAAATCTCGGTAACGAGTTTATGTCTTATATTCCTTTCGGAGTTTTATCCTGCAGCATGTTCCAATCATGTTCAGGTGATACATGAGGATATTAACGTAACGTATTAAATATACTAGATTCATCTTTTCTTCTTTAAGATAGTTTTTAAAACACGTTTTAGTTAAATTTAAAAAAAATAACAGGTTTCATTGAGCTGATATCTTTCATTAAATGTTAATTACAAACAATGTAATTAAGAATTAGAATTAAGTTTTATACTTGTAAATATTTAAGCTAGTTTAACTATTTCAAGATCAACTAATTTTAACGTGGGTGTGTGTGTGTGTGTGTGTGTGTGTTTTGTTAAAGTTTAATTTAAAGCATAAATCGTTTAATTACAATTACAAACATTTTTTTAATATATTTACTTTATTTTAAAATGGAATGCTTGAAAAATATAATGATTTTTTAAATTAAAAGATGAATTTACTCTAAATATAATTCTTTAAAAATATGAAACTGAAGAAAGAAATATTAAACCTGGGAACATTCTCTGTATAGTCATATTCTCTGTATAATTATATACAGAGATAATTAAAATAGAGCACGTCGCAACATTAATAAGTATAATTACTAAAGATTAATTAATCATATTAAAATAATAAGCAATATAGATATAAATTATATTTGATATTATTTATTACCTATACAATGTTATTTTTATCAAATTTTAAAATATCTTTTTTTTCTTTTTTGTGATTTGAGTTCAATGTATCTACTTTTCTTATATATATATATTTTTAAAAGAATCTTAAATATTGTATGCTATATCTAAAATTATATATTTAATTTAACACAAACGCTATTTTTTTTAATATATAATGGAGTTAAGAATGCAAGTTTTTGCAGCATTATTGTCAATCTGAAGTTTTTGAGAATATTCTTGTAGCGCCACCGATTTAGAAAGCTTTCAACTTGAGTATTATGGTTTGCTTTAGTCTCCATCGATAACTTTGCTTTAGGTCTTTCTTCAAGTACAGTATTTATCATTTGATATTTAGTAAAAGACAATATTACTTTAATGCTTCACGAGGGCTGGCAGCACAAAGTTCAGTTAGCTATAATGTAATAATCAAATATTTATTAAATTTCATAAATAGTAAGTAATTTAATATGTAGTAACAATATGATGACAGAAATGATCAATAAAGATCGGCGCAGTTAACAGAATAATAATATTATAAACTAAATGAAATATTAAACACACTTCAAACTTAATGTTAACAAAATCAAAGAAACGAATTTAAAATTTGAAATATTGTATTTTTTATTTAAATTGTTAAATCATTGATTAATTTTATAAATTGTAATTATTCATTATATAGTTATTACATATGCCACTTATTTTATGTTTAAATAAATTTACGTATAATTGCGATTTCTTTTGCTTCAGAGTATATAATGATATGAGTATATAATGATACTATGTTTAATTATATAATTACTAATTAAATATATCAAATTATACGCAGATTAAAAAATTTTTGATTCTTTTTTACAAAAATCTTACATCTTCAACTTTTAAAATTTTTAATAACGAATCAAAAAATATTTATGTTTTAATATCTGGTGAGAAAAAAAAGACATATGATAAAAATTAATAAATATTTAAAATATTAAAAATATTTACAAAAATGTTGGTATTTACTTTTGTTTAAAAATATTAGGATAACTGTTTTTAAAAAAACTTTAAATTGTAAAGTTTTGTTAAAGAAAAATTATCTTTGTTTAATCAAAGAATTTGATAAAAATGATAATAATATTCCAGAATGTTGTATACTAAAATATGTGTGTATATGTATATTATTCAAAAAATAAATAAATCAAAAAATAAAATTGTGAATTTAAATTTTATTATCAAACTATTTCTAATAATTGTAAATATTAATGACAAGATATTTTATTTATTAACTAAAATAAAATTAAAAGTTAATTAAAAGTTTGTAGTTTTTAATTAGAAAAATATTGTATAATAACAAAAAGATTATTACAACAAATAAATTAAAGGACTCTTTTAAATAACAAAAATATCAAGAAAGACAAATTAGAGTCAAATTCGAATATAGATATGTGTAATAAACATTTAAAGTTTTAACATTCTGATAAATTAATATGAAATATAAATTTAATTTAAAAACTTAACGTTACATTGTATACGTACATTACATGTTTCGATATCATAATTGTTCCATCAACATTAGATGTTATAAATTCGTAGAGCAAAAACGCAGTGAAAAAGATGTATTTTGAATAATTTTTATTAAGTCATTAAAAAGATTGTTAAATTAATTATATATTCTTTTTAAATTTTAATTTTGATAACAAAGCAATGAAATTTAAACTATTGAAAGTATTTTACATCTATTAATTATATTTCTGAGATTAATGGGAATATAATATGAAAAAAAAAAAAACTTAAATAATGAAATGTTTACATCCCCTCCCCACACATACACACACACACACACACACACACACACACACACGCACGCACACGCACGCACGCACGCACTCACCCACAAGAATCGTGGATTAAGGGAATTTCTCAGTTTCAAAGGAATTTTCACAATTAATCTGGTCAAAGCTGGAATCTGTCAACACTCTAACATCAGCTTAGAAACTTAATGAAGCTTTCGAGCTCTTTCAGATCATGCTAAGTCTTCGTTCTTACTCTTCCGTTGTTCCAACGGTAACAATGTAAATCCTGTTTGGGGATACTCTCCTCTACCGATTTCTTAGAAGGAGTTTCTGCTTTTGTGAAATTCTATAGACTTCTCGCAAGAGACCACATCATCACGTGAAAGAGAATCCAACAGGAAACGATTTTGTGACAATATTGTCCTCATTTCCTAGACAAAGATGACTATAGTTTTGCAAGTGATTCATTGTGTCTTCGGGCAGATCATTTGCTCTCAGTATCGAGAGAACTTGAAATCTCTTTAAGCTTTGATGATTAAAACTATAAGCTTTGAATAGTTTGATTAAGCTTGAAATTACATATTGTTGTGTTTCTACAGATTCGTTTAGAATATCTTTTGTCATCTTTCTTTTCAGATAATAATACAAATAATTACCTAATATAAACAGCTAATATTTGATAATTGTTATGTAAAAAAATCAAAGAAATATAAGATTTTTGAGAACAAGCATAAAATAAAAATTTTTCATTTTATATATGAATTAGAATTAAATTAACAATTGATAAAATTAATCAGTAACACTACTATATAGTCTAAAGCAAGAAAGTTCTTTGTTAATTAAATTTAAATTTATTTAAATAATGATATTATGTCTAATATAATTAATAATTAGGATTCACAAAAATATTAAAGGTTTAACAAATCTTATCGCGCGGGCGCGATTAGTAGGAAATATTTATAGTCTTACGTTTTTTTCCAAGAGTTTGTCACCGATAAGTTGAGAGTTCTTTTTTTAATTTCAATTCTGCTGTCATTATTTTGTTAATTAGGCCGATGTTTTTGTTAATCACTTTTATCATCATATCGCGATTTCGTTTCCGCTTGAGCGGAAATGCACGTACGAGATTTATCCTTATCCCTGGTCTTTCCTCTCGAAGCTACGTCTTCCTCACAGCCGATGAAGCAGAAGACGAAGAAGCAAAAACGAATAGAGAGCAAGACAGAGAAAATACAAAGCTATTCTTAAAATAGGGCTCGAGTGAGCACCTCGAGTGTGACAAGGAGCTATAACTCCTCGGGCAGAAGGGAAGTCATGAAGAAGGAAGAAGAGACGCAGAGAGCGCTGAGTGAGAGAAGAAAATGAGAAAGAGAGTAAGAGAGAACAAGAACGAGAGGGACCACAGCATGCCTTGCGGGTCGCCGGCTCTTCAGGGTCCGAGCTTCGTTCGAAACGAAGCGTCTTCGCAACGCTCGCCACTTTTCTCTTCTATGAGGTCGCGGAGGTGTTTCTTAAGACAATCAATCGGTTCGTCACTCTTGGCCTTGATATCATCTTCTTTTTTTTTCTTCAACATTCTATCGCAGTCGGGCCGGTGAACCAAGGAACCAGTGCCGGTGAATCGTGTAATGGTGGTGTAGATGCTTGATGGTGGTTGGTGAAACCAGCTGCAGGAAGCGCATCTGAGGACCTGTTTTCTTCTTTTGAAGTTTCTTCGTTGTTCGAGGGATCATGACATCGTACAGGAGCTACGTAAGTTCGCGGTGTTGATTTCGTGATGAAACCGGCTTGATTTAGTATTCCGGAAATCTCTAACTTGCTATAACGATGCAGAAAAAAACCACATTAAAATAATTGAAGAATTGATAACAAAATCATTTTCAAGATATTTCGCTGTGGAATTCATTTCTACGTTTCAACATCAGTTCGTTCACTTTTGGAGCAGATTTGTTGGCAATGTTCTATGCAAATGTACATACTAAAAGCTATGCAATTTTCTGCTTTTGATATCTATATTGCTTCCTCGCCATGCAAAAATATCAGCTGACTTCTATATTGGCTCAGCACGATGATGCACTCATCGAAATAAATGTATTTTCTGTTCGATCGATGAAATTGATATCTTTAATGCTTCAATTCTTACCGATACTTGATCACGTGTTTTTAACGAAATGCGTTGTGCGAAGATATTAGCTGAAACAAGTTGAAAGGTAGTTGAATTTGCATCTATATATGATAACTTATATAAAATAATATTCATGTTCTAGTCAAGTGTCACTAGTAGTATCATCAGTGATAATAATTATATTTACAGTTCTCTACATTAAAAAAGTATAGTGGCACTATGTAAACATTTATAAAATTTTTAATCATTTTTGCCAACTATATATATTTTTTCAATATATGAAACTATAAATGTAATTATTATTATTAAATTTTTATTGTTTAACATTACAGTAGTATAGTAATTACAAGAATAGAATTCCTAATCATAATCATTTTACTATGTAATTATAGCCAAAACACTTTTTTTTTACTTATCGTTTTTGTGACAAAAAAGTCCGAATATATATATATTCGGATTTTTTAAATATATATATATATATATATATATATTAAT